TACATGTAGCCATCGGCTACACCTATATTTATTCTAAACAAAAATATATAAAATTTTAGAAAATTTAAAAAAAATTTTATACATAATAAAGGTTTTAAATCAATAACTTAAAACCTTTATTGTATAATAATTTTTAAAATTTTTCTTAATAAAGTTAATAAAATATATCAAACTATATTTTTTAAATAAAAAATTTATGGAGTATGGTGACCTAGTGAAGTGGTCAGGTTGTCAACCCTCCAAGTGGTAGGTTAGGTGTTCAAATCCCATCGACAGTGAAAATTTAGATAATTATCTATGTAATATTTATATTACAGCAACTGTTACTAATGGTTGGGTTAGGATACCTGTAATGGCGGTCATACCAGCATGACTGGCAGGTCATAGGGCATCTGTGCAATGTTGAAGTTACACAGAGAAATGCAAACCAACATATCGGGTGGTACAAATACTAGATAAGTCCTCGTGGCCATGTAAATCCATTGAAATTAGGTAACAAAAAGTTCATTTGGGAAGACCTAAATAGAGAGGTAGCTGGATCTTCAATGGTCCTACTGTAAAGGTTGCCTGGGGAAACAGATACCCAGATCTAGTACCCAGTCCTAGTAGCCGAATGGGCAAGAACCTCTGGGTTGGGAATCTCAGAAGTACCACCAACCAGGCTGCTAGAACGAACCAGAAGAAAAAGATATCAGGTTGACCTAATATATCAATAGACTGATTGTAGTTCTACATGGGCTATCTGGATTGGGAGTTTGGTAAAAGGGTAGAGGAAAAAGCAAAGGTATACTAAAGTACCAGGGTTATGCTGCGAAGTAGATGCTAGGGTCTAAGTGAACTCTACAAGGGCATAACGGTTTAATGGTTAGCCCTGATCACAAATGTTGGTTCTGTCATAGCGATACCTAGATCAGTTGTAAAAATGGATACAGAAGGCTCTGGAAGGTTTACCTCGAAGATAAATTAGTCCTAAGGTTGAGGACGATGATCTGGTACATCTGAGATAACCAGTGATGTTAACATAAGTTACAGGTTTAGAAGGTTTAAAGTGGAACACCCAAGCAGGGGTGTTAGGTACGGCAATTAGTGGGGAACCTTCGGGCGGACTCCTTAAATAGGTAATATAGAAAAGTTACACATGTAGCTGATTGTATACTCTCCTGTAGTGGTTTATTGAACCACAATATCAACAAGTGATTAATAAAAGTCAAAAAACCAAAGAGGTCACCTTAATACCAAAAAAAAAAAACTAACTATATATATAACTTTAGTTATTATTTAATTAAAAGTTCCACCTATAGGTTATCCACTAGATGCTATATCTGAGACCTATCTGTAAGTCCTTATTTAAACTTTTTGATTTTCAACACATATTGCATATATATGTAACACCTACATTATCATTATATGATATATTAGGTTAAAACTATTTTAGTTACTATTTATATCAAAGTATCACCCTATTGAATGTTACTAAATATTTATATTCCTTTGAATTTACCCTTGATATAAGCTTACTAAACTGGTATCAAGATTACTACTTAGATCTAATTTAGTATATTCTGTATCTACTAAACCAGTTTTAATATTAAAGATGTTCAAATTTCAATAAGTTCATTCCTTTTCTGTAGTTTTCTTTTATGTTCACTATATCACCCACTAGTACACCTTCTCTCCATTTCTGGTATGTTCATTGCTTCTCTTGCATTAAGCATCAACTCTTCATATTAAAAAACTTCTTTCCAGGAACTTCATTATATATTGATCTTCTATTTACATAAACTTAGTCACAAGACTTTATGTACATTCATATGCTTTCATAGATTACAGAGTTTTTGTCTCCAGCTAGAATTGAACCATTGACCTTGTCTGTGAAAAGAGGGGCACCTAGACTACTAGGCTACAGGACCCCATCCCCATTTTTATTTCTTTTATTGTTGCATATTTAACGAAGCATATATTTTTTTTTATTTGAGTTTTTAAGGCAATAATGATATTTGCACATTTAGTAATACTAATAAATTTTTATATATTATATGATAAATTTTAATAAGATTTTACTTATAGCATTGTTCTTGGATCATCGTTATCGGAATTGCTGTCGTTGCAATCGTTCGTTTATTGGAGCTTAAATTCTTGGACTCCAAACCCACCCTTACCCTACCATGGAAACAAATTGTCAAAGGGTACAGCATATAAATTCTGAAACTACATCTTCTATTCTACCTACAGTAAAAATAATCCGGAGAATGGAGGAATAATCCAGAAGTTAGTAACGGGATGCACTTTTTGTCTTCTAGGTTAAAGTAATTCAGCAATTAGCAAGGTAATTTGTACCGTGGTTAATAAGTGTTAAGTTTTTATTAAAAGAAACTTGAATATAGCAATTGAAGCAACAATACTTACAGTTAGTTTTTCTGAATATATATATTAGATATTGAGTAATGTAGGATATGTACGATTACACGCTATGTTCTAGTTAGTTTTTGGTTTTTATACTGTTCATACTCTTTATGTGTGTATATTACCTTTAGTGATAGTTGACGGCTCTTTTTAATTTACTTATCTATTTATTCTTTATCTCGTTATTAAACTATGTACTTGCTAGGAAGCGATTTGTTACTAAAGATTATCTATATATGCATTTATGATTATAAAGATCAATGAATTAAAAATTGTGATTGTAAATGCAAATTTATAGTTTAAACATGTCTTTTTGTCTAATAATTCTAAAAATTTTTTACTTCTAGTCGTTTTATATTGCCAAAGCCCGCCATGCTGCGTTACCACAATCGAGGGCGTAGTCACGTGACATCCGACTTCCTGATCTCATTTATCTATCGCTATGTAAACTTTAAATCGAAACTTTTTATAACGAACCTACTTTATAAGGAGCTTTTTTAGAAAAATTACTTTTTTAATGAAATTTTCGAAAGCTTTACTATGAAAACAGATAGTTTGTTCTAGAAAGCTTACTATATATTTCCTTTTCGGCTGAGAAAAACATTCTTCACTGTAACTTATATTGACGAATACTAAATGTACTTTACATCTGGTTGAAATTTAATAATCCGTAATTCAAACTACTATAAATAAAAATGATCTATATTTGTTATTTTTATTATTTAACCCGTGAGTATATTTTAATCTTTATAGCCTCTATCGAATTATTTATTTATTTGTGTCAATTTGGTCATTCGTTTATAAACCCAAAGCTTACTATAATGAGCTTCTTTATAATGATCCCTGGACATAACGAATAGTGTTGTTAGTCGAAATCATATTACATTTAGACATTTAGACAATTTCGACATTGTTATTTTTGTAAAAATTATTATTAAAAAATAAATTGAATTTAATTTAGGCATTTAGGCAAAATTAACTTAGACAAATTTTGACATTAGCAAAAACAATTTTGTCTAACAACATTAATAACGAACGGTAAATTTTAAATTTATATTAGTTGAGTAGTTTGTTTTAGAACTCTACTATCTTTTATAGCTTTGAATTATTTATTTGCCTAATTTGTTCTATATATTAAATAGAAATTTACTGCCTTATATATATTAAGGTTAGGGTTATTTTGAGATATTAGTGATTTTGATTTTTTTATCTTATACCGAATTCGTTTAATCACAAGTCGTATAGTGAAGATCAATAATAAGGATTTTGTGCCGGCTATTTTTCTTAATAATAAAACCATACGTATAAGTTTTAAATGTTAATAACTTAGATGTAAAATTATATTTATTGAATTCCTATTTTTCATGAAAACTGATTGTTAAAATCTAATTTATTCAAAGAAAATAACAAAAAAAACTCTATTACCTTAAAGGGTGAATGAAGAGGAGTTTAATAAACGTAATTTTACTTGTATAAATTTAGTAGTTTAGAAGTTATTTACATTTAAACTTTATACGTATGTTTTTATTATTAAGAAAGATAGCCGGCACAAAATCCTTATTATTGATCTTCACTATAATGACTATTTATTATTTTACTAATTATACGTATGACAAAAGTCACCGACTTGTACGTAGATCATTTTATAGTAAATATCGGCTATAAGAAAGGTTAAAATTATTACGAACTTCATCGGTTATAGTTTCCGTAAAATGCTTCTCAATTTTTTTTAGAAATGTTAGTCTAATCCAAGAACGATGGTTTTCTGCAAAATGCAGAATACCGCAGAATTTGCAGAATTCGCAGAATTCACACTTTTTTGCAGAAATTAGATTTCATCACGGATAATCTGTAATTGCCTAAAATTTGACCAAGATCCAATATCTTAATAAAATTTTACAGTATATGTAATTCTTTAAAGTTTTTATTTTCTTATAATTTATTATAAAATTTATAATATAAAAATCAATTTCCGCAAAACTTTTGTCAATTCCGTCCCTTTTCTCAGCACCAAGCCCATATATTTTTATTTATTAATATTTTTACTTTTTTCTTTATTATGTTAAGATTTCAAAATAAATACTTCTTTTTTTATTTATTATACTTATTAAATTTTTATAAATATATTTACAGTTTTACTAAATCACACCACTAAAGCTAACATCACCTGCACTTCCTTCCCAAATTCCAAACAATTATAGCTTTAAGTTTATCTATATCCAAGCCCCAAAACTCTATATATAGAATATATATTTGCAATTATCAAGTTTATTTTTTACGTTTGATTTTTATAAATTGCAATGTTTGTTGTTGAGGTTTGGATTTGCCCGGATTTTGCCAGTAAGCATAGTAATATCATCGTTAATAATATGACCTATATATGTGTACATATGTATATATTGTGAAGGAGGCACTGATAACTTTGTAGAACCTATAATAACAGAGCTATCGAATATTCTACCTCTACAATGAGTTGAAATATTAAATAATCGTTAAGGTTTCTTGTATTATCATAAAATATAAAATCATAAATCACTACACTAAGTCTTGACTAACTGAGGAATAGTGCTTATTATGGCAATTAATAATATCACAAATTAATTAGTCATCTCATTTAAAACTTGTTTCAAACATCGTATTGCATTTCTCAAACCTAGCAAACAACCTTCATCCTTGCCAATGCCATCTTGAAAGTGTGAATGAGCAAAGTCTATTATCTTAAGCTCGGTTACTTTGAATTCTTCATCCTCATCCTCATCCATATCCGAGTCATAATCTGCGTCTTCGTCTTCAGCACAATCTTCGTCCGATGTTAATTTACCCAGCTTTTGTTCATTTTGAGCATCTTCATCTTCTTTATTAAGAGCATCCATCAAAGCATTAGGATCCCCTTCATATATGAACAATAAAGATGCGCCACGTAATCTAACGTCATGGTTTTCCAAGTCTTCCAAAAATAATGTTAAATCTTCGATAAACCGATCGATTATAAGCTGACGTTGACTAAGTGATATCTCTGCCATAAAAAAATCCGCAAAACATGTCATTATAGTATCAGGAGTAAGACTTCTGCAATATTCTCTAGAGTAATGGGTATAATTATCTGATGATTTTCCATAGACCTGTAATTGAAGAGATTAATCATACTGTAATTATGTAACCTGACAAATATATATTTTTTTTTCTTTTACCCGGGATGCTGTTATACGAATTCCCATAGAAGATGATGTTGTACTTTCCGCTTTTCGTATCGCTTTCTGACGTTTTCTTTCATCAGCATCCTTACCCCAGAGTTGTGTACCCAATTTCACATCCATTACACATGGTTTTTTAAATTTGATTAAGACGTTTTCTATGCAAATAGCTTGTGTTGTTTGAATATACGGGTCAAGGATATAATTTATAAATTTAGGACGCTTAAATTTTAAATTAAAAGGATATCTTCAGCGCTTGTGACGTTTACATTATGTGCCGAAATACTCTCTTTCGTGTCCTGAAGATTAATACCGCATCCAGAGATCACATTGTTAATTTCAACTTGCTGATCTAGCAAAGATGGTTGAGAGTCGTGTAGTCGTAAAGTTCCGTAATATTTCGGCATCCATCTGGCAAATCCTGGATGTAGTACACTGATTTCATAGAATTCTCTCTCAAGTTCGTTACAAGGCTTTATGATCATAGAATCCTCGTTCATGGATAATATTTCACCATGCCCACCAAGTTGGTAACCAAATTTTTTTAAGGGAGCCGGGTAATTCAAGTTTAGGCTTTGAGGCGCCAAAAAGCCCTTTTCTTGACGCAGAGGTGCAGCCATTATCGTTAACTTTATTTAACACCAATCAAATTATATATTTTATAGGTAATTAAGATTACTATTTAAGTTATATATAATGGAGTAAAGGCCTGTAACAAAACAGGCTTTCTGAGTTGCACGAAAGCAAAATAACCTATATGGGTAATTATTTTTGAAAATATTATTACGTCATATATAAAATTGGTCTGGGTTCAAAAATAATTACTCATATTTAGTGGTCGGCTAAAGTGGAATGATTTTTATGATTACGCATTTTCCTCTATATTTAGATGGATCGATTTTTTTTCAAGTAGCCAATAGAAATATTAAAGTTTTAAATTAGAGGTTTTTTTAATTCTTGATCTTTTACTTAACCAGAGATTGTTTTAACCTTAACTATTTTTAGAAAATTCTTTTAGTTTGGAAATCAAATATACGTAAGTATACGAAAGTTTATTTTAGAAAGCTTAATTCAAAATACTGTACGTACAAACTATCTAAGTTATGTTTGCTTTTTACATATATATATTTAAAAAACAAAAATATCTTTTACGTACAATTAGATTAAAGTTAATACGTATTATATTTTACATATCGGTCAAATGTCACACACATTGTTAATCAAATAACTTGTTACATTGAATTTTTTATATGTAAATCAATAAAAAAAAAATTCATTCATTTGAATTAGGAATTGGAACCGTTTAACCGTTTAAAAATTGCTTCATAGTTCCGGCAGAATTATGTTAGTAGTGGGTTGGAATTATTTTAATGCCGGCAAAATTAAACGGTTAAACTATTAAACGATTAAAAAAATTTAGACGGTTCTAATCACTAATTTAAATTTTATAAAAAGTTAAAAATTTAGATATACATTCTTTAACATTGTATTTTCTTTTATCTAAAATTTTTATAGTAATTTAGAAGGATTATTTGTTTTTATGAATGTTTTTAGTAATGGTTTTTTTTTAACCTTAAGCAGTTATGTTAGTACTTTATTAATATTTTTTCTTTGATATTAAGATGTTCTTTTTGATTTTTTGATTTTATTAATATTTTTTAAGTAATGATGTTTATATAAAATTATTACAGAATAAGAGTACAATTTGTTACACATGTAATTTTTTTATATTACTTATTTAAGAAGTCTGTTTAAAGGTTTTTTATTAATTATTATATTTAACATTTCTACTTAGATGTTTTATTTTAAATTTTTTAATCTTATATCTTTAGTATTAATTTTACTAAATTATAGAAATATTTATTTTAATTTTACTGAATTATAGAAATATTTACTTTTTTTTTTTTTTTGGTATTAAGGTAACCTCTTTGGTCTTTTGACTTTATTAATACTTCTGTTGAGTATCATGATGAGTGTACAACTAGTTACACATGTAATTTTTCTATATTACCTATTTAAGAGGTTTGCTTGAAGGCTCTCCACCAGTTGCTGTATCTAACACCTCTGCTTAAGTGTTTCATTTAAATCTTCTGATCTGAAACCCTTGTACCAACTTCACTAGGTCAAGCCCAGATCCTTGTCTTAACCTTAGGATTATTTTATCTTCAAGGTAAACCTATCAGAGTCTCTATGTCTCACATATAGCTAACCTGGATTTCATGTAACATGCTATAGTTACCTAATACTTGCAGTCAGAGTTAACCTTAAACTGTTACATTACATTATTTTTACCTGTGTAAAGTTCATCCAAACCCTAGTATCTATCTTTTCAACTTTTTTTTTTTATCCTTATACTATTCAACTCAGAATCTAACAGACTTCTTAGACTTCCAATCCAGATAGTCTAGTATGATATATCTTTTGGTATTCTTTTCTTCTGGCGATTTTGATGGCCTGGTTAGTCATATGCTTCTCTACACATCTTTTCATCCAGTTGCATGTCTGCCTATTTCTTATTGGGATTTCTTAGACTTCCATCAGTCTGATAGTACTATCGAAGATTTGTGTTACTTCTTTCTCAAAATTTCCAAGTGGGATTCTGTCTCTTCAGTTTTTTAGTCTTCTACATCTGGTGGTCTTATTATAGGTTTGCACCAGAATTTTATGCAATTCTAGTTTTAACATTCCTTTATGTATGTATAATATTACACTTCGTATAGATGCTCTGAGTTCTTAATAACGAGTAGAACTCGATTGGTTGTACTCAAGATTACAGATACCTAAATTCAACTGATCAACAGGAGACAGTTTAGCTATAATACAGATTAATTTCCAAATTTCATTATAAGTAGAATTTGAATCTTAGACTTACCACTTGGAGGATAACAACCCAACTACTATACTAAGATTGCCATCCTCTATAGAAATATTTACTTTAATTTACTAAATTGTAGAAATATTTACTTTTTTATATTTGGATTCTTATTTTAATTTTAGAATTAATTTATAAAAAACTTATTAAAGTTTTTATTACTTATTCTATAACTAATTTAGTTTTTAAGTCTTGTAAAGTTTATATAATTTTAATATTTTTTTTACAATCTTATTAGTATTTTATTTATTTTTACAAATTTTCTTATATTATTAATCTAATTAGTTTTATATAATATAACTTTATAAAGTATGGTGATCTAGTGAAGTGGTCAGGTTGTTAACCTTTTAAGTGGTAGGTTGGGTGTTCAAATCCTATTGATGGCAAAAATTTGGATAATCACCTATGTAATATTCATATTACAGCAACTGTTACTAATGATTGGATTAGGATACCTGTAATAGTGGTCGCATCAGTATGACTGGCAGGTCATGGAGCATTTGTGTAATGGGTTATATGACATTGTCCTTTGGGACAAGGTTGTGGTTACATGAAGGAATGCAAACTGGCAATTAGGTAGTACAAACACTAGATAAGTCCTTGTGGCCATGTAAATTTGTTAAAATTGAGTAACAAGAAGTTCATTTAGAAAGACCTAAATAGAGAGGTAGCCAGATCTTCGATGGCCCTACTGTAAAGGCTAGTTTTATGAAATGGATACCAAAGTCAAAGTAGCTAGACAGACAAAAACCTCTAGATGGAGGGTACCACCAACCAGGTCACCAGATCGAGCTAAAGGAAAAGGATATCAGGCCAACCTGATATACCAAGGGACCAGTTGTAAGTCCTACTAGGCTATCTGGATTGGGAGTTTGGTAAACTGGCAAAGGTATACTAAAGTATTTTAGATATGCTATGAAGTAAATGCTGGGGTTTGTATAAACTCTACAAAGGCATAGTAGTTTAATAATCAGCTCTAACCGCAAGTATTAGTTCTGCCATAGTGATACCTAGATCGATTGTAAAAATGGGTACAGAAGGCTCTGGGGGGTTTACTTCGAGGATAAATTAGTTCTAAGGTTGAAACGATGATCTGGGTATCTGAAATAACCTAGTAATGTTAACACAAGTTACAGGTTCAGAGTGTTTAAAGTGAAACATCCAAGCAGAGATGTTAGGTATGGCAATTGGTAGGGAACCTTTGGTCAGACTTCTTAAATAGGTAATATAGAAAAATTACATGTGTAGCCAATTGTATGCTCTCTTGTAATAGTTTATTAAATCACAATACTGATAAATAATTAATAAAAAGTTAAAAGACCAAAGAGATCACCTTAATACCAAAAAAAAAAAAAATAATGTAACTTTATAACTAATAGTTTTTTTTAAGTTATATTTTATAATAATATTTTTATTTTTATTTTTTTATACTAAGGCTGTAGTTATCAGCAGCTATTGCCTTTATAGGTAAGTATACAACTAGTCATACATACAACTTTTGGTTGTCTATTTTAAGTAGTCTGCTTACATAGCAGGTTCTATACTAGCTGCCATATCTGCAATCCACTAGAAGATTATCTATTTAAACACTCTAATCCTTATACTTATATCGACAAATAGTACACAAGTTTCTATATATCTAAGTGCTGTCTAACTTAACCATAACCTTTCTGTCTGTATATCCATTAAGCTATTATATATTTCAAAGTATGTTACCTAACTGTAGGGCTTCAGAAGGCCTTCTGCTAACTAACTACTAATATTTAGTTACTTGTTAATAGGGCTTGCCCTTGCAAAGTTTACCTAGACCTTAGCACCAACTTTACAGCATATTTCTAATACTTATAGTATATCCTTGTTTCTGATTTTAGACTTCCAATCCAGAAAGTCTAGTAGGACTATGACCTGTTTCTGGTACTCTAGAGTTTGCTTCCAAGATCCTTTTTCTCTGGTTCGAAACTTCTGGCAGTCTAGTTAGTGGTACTCTCATCTAAGGTTCTTGCCTATTTAATTTCTTCTGCATTAGTATTTGTTTCCTAGGTCTAGCTTTTATACTAGTACTGTTGAAGATCTGTGCTACTTCTCTACTTGGATCTTTCTAAGTGAACTTCAGTTTTTCAGTTTACAGATTTATACAGCTACAAGAACTTATTTTGAGTTTGCACTGCCCAATGCCAGTTTGCATTTCTTTATATAACTCCAACATTGTGCAGATGTCCTATGACCTATCAGTTATTTAATATAATTGTATTACAGATACTGATTCCAACTAATCGATGGAGTGCTATTGTTGTAATATTACTTATTTCCTATAATACTGATATAATATAGGTAGTTTTTTAAATTTTTGCTATCAGTAGGTTTTGAACTTCCAATTTACTACTTGGAAAGTTAACAGCTTAACTACTTTACTAAGTTGTCACACCTCTTTAATAATATTTTTATTAATATATTTAAAATTAGTTATTATAATTATTTTTTTATAAAGATAAAAAATCAATTAGTTATAAGGTAAATAGGGGTATTGTAATGAACTTTTAATAAAACCAACTTCTCATATTATTTAACTTCTTTGTAATTATGTTTTTTTTTTATATTGAAACAAGACTTACATAATAAGATGCCTAAAAGGGAAGAAGCGGTTATTAATACTGTAACGAGTAATACAAACAAAAAAAAATTTCAATCGTTTGCATGCAAATTTAAATGTGGAAAATTTGATGTCAAATCCTAATTTGAGACATTAAT